AACCCTAAACCCTGAACCCACCATCCTAACCTTAAACCCTAATCCTAACCCGTCTGTGTCCTAATCCACGATCTCATGGGATTAGCAGTAACATAGCTGCAGGAGTCCCAAATGAAACCTCCCAAACCGAAGCCTGCCAAAACTTCCCCACATTAGGGTTTAGGGTTTAGGGTCAGGGGGACTTAGTAACTAGGTTATTATTGGGGATAATCGGGGTTACTATATAGGTTATAGGGGTTCAAAAACCTACTTACTACGTCCCGTTGACCCTCCATGAAGAGGAGGACCTTTACTTAGAACTTAGAACCCCAATTTTTTCAATCCTAAATACTGGGACCCCCCCAAAAAAATCCTAAACCCTAAACTCCACCGCCCCAAATGGTAGCCCTAGTTTTTGGGAAATGTACATCCCTTAGGCACAGAAGTCCGTAAGCTGGCTCCACCCCATGAACTCCCCCTAAACACTCAACCCCCTACCTGAAACTCCTAAACTCTTGAAGCCTGTGAGGCCGTGTGTGGGGAGCTGCGATTTCGACAGCGGCTGATAAGCGGCGGGCAGGCAGTGATGCCTCAAAAACCTTAGGGTTTAGGGTGTAAGGCGTAGGATTTAGGGTTTAGGGTGTAGGGTTTAGGGGTTAAAGAGCTTGAGAAGTCATGAGGACCCAGCTCCTGCCACTTCAAGTAGTAGCAAGAAGCATAGCTGCAAGTACGCAAGCACATGTGCGCAAATCGTATTCAAAGCTGTAAAGGTGCTGAATGCCCTACATCCTGAACCCGTTAATCTGAAACTCAACACCCTAAACCTTGAAACCCTAAAGCCTAAACCTTGAAACCCTAAAACCTAAACCTTGAAGCCCAAAACCCTAAACCTTGAAGCCCCAAAGCCTGAACCTTGAAACCCTGAACCCTAAACGTTGAAACCCTAAACCCTTCCAGACCCCCAAACAGCCCCTCAATCCCCCTTCCAGACAGCCAGGAACTGGAAGACTTTGCGGGCTTGGCAGATGTCAAAGATCTACATCTGGCGCCAATGGCTCTCAAACTGGGTTGCTGTTAAGGAACTTCAAGTGAGTTACCATCTATGCATTATATAGTAGTGAATATGCTTTCCCCAACATAGTAACTTAAATCAAGTTCCTCAACAGCAACCCAGTAAACGGTTTAGGGTTTAGTGCCTCAAGCTTAGTTGGCTAAACCCCAAAGCATAAAACCTTTGTGTTTAGGACTTAGGGTTTCGGATTTCGGGCTTAAGGGGTCCTCTACAATCTTACACTCGGGTACAGCCCTAAACCCGTAAACCCTAAACCCTAACCCCTAAACCCCTAAGCCCCTAATAGGGTTTATGGTAAGAGTGCGGAGCCCCACGAGGTGCTGGTGCCATTCACTGCATCGTCGCAGGAGGAGGCGGGTTCCGAAGGAACATCATGTAGTTTTAGAGTTTAGGGCTGAGATCTTCTTTTTTTTCTCAATATTCTGCCTGAGAAGGCTTTACATAACTATAGTATAAGATATCTCAAACCCAAATTCCTGTTACAGTCTAAGGGTAGGGCCTGGTGCAAGGAAATTTTTATGCGCGGGGGCTTGGTCCGTCCAAACACCGTTTTTCGTTTTAGATGCGCCCTGGCCATGCTGGGTTTTCTAGTTTTCAGCTCCAGCTGCTGTAGCTGAATGTCTCGGTATGTAGAGTTAGTTACTTGGTAGTTGTAAGCCCAGCCTTTGTCCACAGAGCCAGCAACACATTTGCTGCCAGAAGCGTTGCATCCAAGGCTTTGCCAAGCTGTCTGGTTGTTTGTAGGGAACAGGGGACTGGGGACCGAAAGTGGCACCTATGTGATCCTCCCCTTGAATACAGTACTTTCCACTTTATGTTCCATTCCGTCATCCTATTAAGTAGTAACGACCAGCAAGTTTAACTTCGCTCCCCAACCACGCAATTCGGGCTTAGGGTTCAGGATTTCACCACAATCGCAACATGGTGTCCTAGTCCTGCATATCCTTACGGTGCTCAAGAACGTCCCTCCAATGGTAGCCCGGATATCATCCTGGAGTGCTTGCGTTTTGTTGTCCATTCCTTCTTTCTCTACCAACTAGCAGCTAAAACCCCTAAACCCTAAACCCTATTCGGTGCGACCTCATAAACCTTGATGCAAACCCAGTTTCCATTGCATGTTCCGTTTGCCTACAGGAACATAAGGACCCTGGTAGGTATCTTCCTCTCATATGCCTACTACATTCTTGGAGTTCCCTGTTTGGGTCCCCATTGTAGTCCCTAAACCCTAAACCCATAAACCCATAAACCCTAAAACCCTAAACCCTAAACCCTTAAACCCTAAACCCTAAACCCTAAAAGCCTAAAGCCTAAAGCCTAAACCCTAAACCCTAAACCCTAAAAGCCTAAACCCTAAACCCTATGGCAACAAGAGGCCAGTAAAAGCATCATCCAAGCAATCGTGGCGGGACTCCTGGAGCCAGTGCCTTGCCTCCGAAACTTCGATTCAGGGCTGAGAGGCCTTGTGGCGCAGGGAACCCTAAACCCTAAATCCCAGTAAAGAGGGTTTAGGGGGTTTAGGGGGTTTAGGGGGTTTAGGGTTGAGGGTTTAGGGTTTAGGTGGTTTAAAGTAGGGTTTAGGCTTGTCGGTTTAGGGCTTAGGGTTCGGTGTCAGGGTTTGGGGTATGGGGCTTAGGCTTTGAGCTTCTGGGTGCAGGGTTTATGTAGGCTTTTACCGTCTGGGCTATACAGTTGGGGCTTCCTGGGATTAGAGATTAGGCTCCGGGGTCAGCAGGGTAGGGTTTCTGAAGGGTGGGTGATAATGATTTGTCTTACCTCTAACTTCTTGCAGAAGTAACATCATACAAGCCTGAATAATGAGCAACAGTATCTCCTCACTATCCTTATATGGCTGTAGTAGCCGCTTCAGTAAATTTTAAAGTGCGTGTGTCGATTATCTCAGGATCTAGGCTCTATAGGCTTTAGGGTTCAGGGTTCAGGGTTTAGGGTTCAGGGTTTAGGGTTTAGGGTTTAAGGTTCACAGTTTAGGTTTTAAGGGTCAGCCCTACATCCCAAAACCTGAGCCTCAAATCCTGATGCGCGCACCCTAAATCCAAAATTGACACGTTGGAATTCCGGGCCCTTAGTATGGACCCGAATTCCTGGGGTCCATACATACCTACTATATACCCATAAACCCCAAGACACCCAATCAAGGGCCCATAGCTAGGACCTAGGAAACAGCTAGGGGCCCATAGCAGGGGCCCATGGCTAGGTCAGGCAGGTTTACTTCGCTAATATTCCCCTCCCCTAATCATACCACCCGCCCCCACCCCTAAATAATGAATCTTCCCTGGATAAGGCCATGGCAGTATATTGAGTGCCTTTGTGAGAAAATGGCTAGCCCCTACTTTGAGAACGCATTCATGACCATTGATATATCCTTCTCTGTAAAAGAGCCCGCACAGGGAAGCAGCATATGGATGTGTCTCAAAAAGCCCGGTATAGAATTACTTATCCCTAAACCCCTAAACCCTAAACCCTAAACCCCTAAGCCCTAATCCCTAAACCCCTAACCCCTAAGCCCTAATCCCTAAACCCCTAAACCCATAAACCCTAAACCCTAAACCCTAACCATGCCTTAGGACCTTATATCCCCCTCACGTTCCCAGGAGGTTTAGTGTTTAGGGTATCTTGAGGGTTTAGGGTTCAGGGCCAACAGTGGAAACCTTCCAGACATCTCAGGTTGAAACTTTTCTGCGAGAGCCTCGCAATCCTGACATAGCAGATAACATTGGCCGGACGCCTTTGGGTCAAGCATGTGACGCCGGAGTGTCTTAGAAGATTTTCTGGAGCTTCTCTTCTTAATCTCAGATCAAGGGATCCATATATTCCGCGAAATTGCTCTCATTTTAAGAGAGCCTCCCTGAAGAATTCGGAACGGAAAACATATTTTTCTGTCTGAGGATCTCGAACCGCATTCAAGCAGCATATGGGTAGTGCCTTGAGCGAGACTACCATCGTCCCCAACGTAGAGATATATGTATATACAGTACTGTTTAATTGTAATATCTTGCAGAAAATGGCTTTTCTCGGTTCAACAGCTACAATGCCGTAGCTACGCATGTCTTTTTCTGACTCCGAAAGGGTCTCTAGGCGAAAGCGGACACCTGGACATCGTACGGCTACTCCTCGAGGCTGGAAAGCGCGTGGTTCAGGGCTTTAGGGCCGTCGGGTTTAGGGTTTAGGGTTTAGGGCTTTAGGGTTTAGGGCATCTTTTAAGGTTCGTGGGACTTAATGTTAGCCTTGCATTTAAAGCCCTTAATGTGTGAGGTCAACATTAGTAGTACTCACAACTGGAGTTATAGCCTTAGTAGTAATCTTACGATTGGGACAACCTATTCAAGGTCATTCAGAGGAATCATAAGTGGGGTTCTCCCCGGTAGTACCAAGTTTCCCTTTGTATTTTGGGGTCTCCTTATTGAGGTTGAACATTGAGAACCGGTTACCCCTATTGTTAAGCGGTTACTGAAATTTAGGAGCTTGGGGTCTAGGAGTAAGCCTAAACTACAAGCAACCAGGACCATGATTATTTCAAACTTTTGCCCGGAGCAGAAGCCGTTTCCACTTCATTTTTTAAATGCCTTCCCATTGTTTCCCATTTCTCTTACATATCCCTATACCCTAAACTTTCTACAGCCTAAATCCTAAACCCTAGACCCTAAACCCTAAATTCCCTGTATATCCTTCGCTGCAAAGGCAGGTGCCAGCACGGAAATGATGAGTGGCCCTCGCTACAGGTCCCGGGGCCCCAAGGTTTAAGGTGTAGGGTTGAGGGGTTGAGGCCCACAGAATCAGTAGTCAGGCTTTGAGTTTCTAGTAGGTTGAGGGATGTAGGGCATGTAGGGCTTAGTGTTCAGTATATAGGTCTTCGATCCAGTCCAGTCACAGTCAGGCAGATGTCCAGCGGATGTACCAAGTACCTCAACTCTCGGGATCTCAAGCCCCGAGCCATTCCAGAAACCCAGCTTTGAAATTCTTGAGATGAAGTAATTATGTTTCTGAATAATGTTCATGACCAAGATGGACTTAACTGAGTTTAGGTCCTAAACCCTGAAAGGTATAGGTCCCTCCACAGTCGGGCCATGGCTGCAAGTCGCAAGCAACAGAACGGCTAATGAGTTTTACAATCTATGAATCACTGCCGCTACGCAACATTGCAGCAAATCCTAAACCCTAAACCCTAAACTCCATGTCCTAAACCCCTCGGCCTAGCCGTGCACGTCAAACTATAGACCCTAGATTGGATTTAGGGTTTAAGATCCAAGGCGCCCGAACCCATATAGTCCCCCTTAAGAAAGAATATGGGGTATATGAGGATCTTATTATGATATACTCAAAGCCATACTCTATCTCCTTGACTGTCAACCCAAGGCTCCAAACCCATGCAAAGCTGTTCATATTAGAAGCCTTGCACGGCCCTCAAGTAGCTTATTCCCAGAAAATAGAAGCTACAGGCTATAGCCTAAACTCCTAGAACCCCCCTTAAAAATCCCTATAAGACTCCCCTATCTAATCCCCTCTAAGGAATTTAGACTATAGCTCATATGGTGCTCCAGCATACTCAGGGCATGCAGGATGTTTGTACCGGAAAAACTAAACCTTAAACCCTAAACCCCCAAACCCTAAACTAGACCCCAGTATACTGAGGGCTTTGCATCAGCAGAAGGACTCCGCTGCGTCTGGCCGCCGAGTATGGGCATGTGGAAATCGCGCGCCTCCTGGTGCCCGGGCCTTTATCATGGGGTTCCTACATACTGTGCACCTCCTCTATGCCTTCACAATCCAGATAGACCCCATATATATCAAGCCTAATTCGGGCTCAGTTATTCTTGGTCTTGGGAGGGGAACCCTAAACCCTAAACCGGGTCTAGCATAGAATCCCGTAACTTCAGCGATAATTTGGGGTCAGCATTGCCTCCCCCTATCTTACGCTCGGGTCTCCACCATGGTATCCCCGCAGATTTGCTAAGAGAAGCCCTCGGCCTCTCAACTTACTGGTGGTCAGGAAAGAAGGAAGAGAGTATTTGCAGGGACGCTTATTGCGGTTTGTACATGGGCTACTCTTGGGGTCCATTCCTCACTGCTTGTTAATTCTATAGTATTTCCGTTCATACCCTAAGCCCTGCCAACCGCCAGTCAGTAAATTCGGTATCTGGAGCAACTTGTTGAACCCCCGCGTTCAAACGCAGTGTCCATTTCCACTTTCTTTCTTGAAAGCCCTGTTCGAATTAGATATGACCCTACCCAAAATGCTAAGGCCTTAATCAAAAACTCCTAAACCCTTAGCCCTGCACAAGTCCTCAACCACAAGCCCTACACCAAGCGCACGAAGGTGGAGGCAAGGGCAGACAAAGACAAAGTCTGCGGAAGGGACCAGCGATCTGCGCTGGGCATGGCATCAGAGCGAAACCATGTCGAGGTCAGGGACATATGGGGGATTCCCAGAATTAGGGGTACTTTTTGAGGGTCCCGATAATAAGGATTATAGTATATTGGAGTCTATATTGGGGTCCCCTTATTTAGGGAAACTACTACCATGTAGGGATAATGGAAAATTGGAAACTACTATTTAGGGTTTAGGGTTTAGGGATTAGGGTTTTCGCTTCAGGGTTTGGGGTTGGGGCTTAGGGATTAGGGCGTCGGGTTTCAAGATTAAGGTTTTCGGATATGGGTTTCGGGTTTAGGGATTAAGGTTTACAAGCCCTAACCCCCTAAAACACCTAAATTCCCAGGTCGTGCGATTTCTCTTGGAGGCGGGTGCCTCCAAGGACCCACTGGGCGATTCGTACAAGCCCCTCACAAAAGCTTCTGAGATGCACCACTTTGAAGTGACGCGGTTGCTGAGGCAAGCCCCCTGAGTAAGGTATAGCCTTCACCTAGGTTTTTAGGTTTTCAGGGTTTAGGGTTTCGGGTTTAGGCTTGTTGCAGGTTTAGAGTTTGGTGTTTTTTTAGGGTTTAGGGTTTACGGCCGACTCATTTGTAGATTTTGGGCTGCTGTTCAGCAAATTGAAATAAGGTACCCTGACACGGAAACCGTATCGTTTATATACCATACATCCACATCGTGGTAGCTTGAGTTTACAATCCGACACATCACCCCGGAGTGTGGGGTGTGTTTGATAGTTCATGGTAACCACTATACTGAACGGTAAACTTGAAGTACATCATTCCGCTGCAGTGGCGGCTATGGTAATGGATCGTCCTGCACACTTCCTTGTCACGCAGTCAAAACAAAAAGGAGAAGCTATGTTGTGTTCATCATGTTTTTAGCACAGCTAGCATGCAAGCCAAGAAGTTTTTCCCTGGGCCATAGATGGGCTCCTGAGGAGGATGCGTCCGCAGTGGCCACCCTAAACCCTAAAACCTTATAATCCCCCTTAAGTAGATAGAATATGGCTTTGGGTATATTATAATAAGATCCCCATATACCCCATATTCTATCTACTTAAGGGGGACTATAGTAGGTCAAGTCTGCAGCTTTTCCCTCCAGCATCATCAGCATCATCATCCTGAAAATGGCCAGTGTGATTCGAAGCACCATCGAACTTGCAGTGCTACCCTGGAGAGGACACAGACCAAAACTGAGACTCTAACACCGGGAGCCACCCAAATGAAAGTATCAATGTCTTGGCTCTGCAACCCTTAATTCGGAATGCTGTTGCCGTTTGCCACAAGCAGCGGTGTCTGAAAAGGCAAGCCCTAAGCCCAAGACTCCAAAGCCCAAACCCCCTAAGGTAGCCCTAAATAAACACTAAATCCCAAACCCGAGACCCCAACCCCTTAACCCCAACCCCCCTAAACCTTAAACCCAAGGCCCAAGACCCTAAACTCTACACGCCCTGAACCCCAACCCCTTAAACCCCAAGCCCTCAACCTTACCAGGCAGACTCTAAACTCCAAAACCCTAAGCCACAAAATCATACTGTATGACCCCACCTGCTAAGATGGGCTTTGATGAAAAGTTTGAGTCTGCAAGGGCCTCCATCTTTGAGACATTGCTGGTTAGCGGCGTTTCTGTAATAAGGCTGCGTGGCCCATGCTGGAAAATGCACGTCCGACGTCCTCAGCACTGCATAGTCTTGTTGTTCATGCCTGGCTAAACCCAGCACAAATAAGAGTAGGGTTTAGTGTTCCCTAAACCCTAAACCCTACACCCTACGTCCTTTAGGGTTAGGGTTTAAGCTTAGGGTTTAGTGTTCCCTGAACCCTAAACCCTAGAGCAGGGCCGGGTTTCAGTTTATGATCATTGTCAAGCAGGAGTACTGCTACAGGGCATGCTGAATTACTCATGTGAGCCATAGTCTAAACCTCTTAAAGGAGGTTATAGAGGGTTTAGTTAGGGTTTAGGGTCTAGGGCCCGGGTTTAGGTTTCAGGGTCTTAACTCCTGGGCTATCTAGGGCAACCTATTGGGTTTTAGGGTTTAGGGTTTGGGGTTTGGGGTTTCCTTAAAGGGGGTGATCTATGGGATTAAATACCGATTATGTGGAGGTTTAGGGTTTAGGGTTCAGCGTCAAAAGTCCTTAAAGGGGGTTATATAGGGGATTCAGGGGTTATTAAGGCGGGTACTAGGAGTTTAGATTATACCTCGTGTGAGCTACTTCCAATGCCTGTGAGGTAGGGACATTGCTGGTATGGATGTAGGTGCCGGCCGGAAATAGCCTGGGCCGAACCTCCGTTCTGAACACAGACAGAGCAGTCCGTCCAGAGAATCCTGTTATAATCCTAAACCCTGAATCCTAGCCCTTAACCCTTAAGCCTAAAGCCTTACAATCTCCTCACAATTCCTCCATAGCCCCAGGGTCACTCTCGGATCCCTGTTTTGAGCAACTGCCATGTTAGGGGTTTCTCTAAATTTCCAAACGCTTTCAGCCCCCCTTTTTGGGAGAGTTTAGGGTTTAGGGGCTTTACATAACCTTGAGTAAAGCATGTTGAAAGCATGTTGCGGGTGATTTTGGGGCTCGCTGTGTACGCAAAACTCTCCATGCCATCTTTGGCAAGATACATAAACTATGAGAAGCTGTTATACCCTAAGCCCTAAGCCCACCAAAGGGGAATACTCACATCTCTTCAGCCTGGCATTGCAAGTCTGCCTTTTTAGCCCCAGGTTTGCTGACAAGGGACATTGCCCATACTATCAGTTCAGGGTTAGGGATTACAGATTTCCAGGTCAGGTGAAAGTGTGTTTCTCACAGAAACGTTTCTACAATCCCAAACAGGTCCTCAAAATCCCTACACAGCATCCCTACCAGCTAGAGGACCACAAGCATCCAGACGTGCAGTACTTGAAATGAGGTGAGGTAGAAGCCCCCAGATTCCTTGTATGCTTATAGAGTCCTCCTGAAGCAGATACAATATGGCCTTGGGTATATTATAATAAGAACCCCATATACCCCATATACTATCTACTTAAGGAGGACTATATTGTTATAAAGTACATCAGAGAGACCTCATCACACCAGTAATGACGTAGAGCCCCTACAGTCGGCCAATTTCGAGTGCTAGAGCGTTCTCCTCTTGGTTATGCTACGTTATACGACGAACTCATCTCACTTGGTTCAACCACCCCAACAAACCAAAGCTCCAAAAGCCCCGATTTAACCGCTGTAGAACCCCTAAGAAAGACCCTATACTTGGTTCAAGTCCCCGAAAACACGCTCAGATGATATTGCTCCGGGGCGCGTTGAAACCCGAAATCCGCAAAACCAACGCGACCCTCCAACAAAAATGTCTGCTTCGCGTGTTAACCCCATGGGTTCCTCTACTACCCTCATCCCCTACAATACCCACCCCAAGGTTCCAACTTAACTCACTTTGCATTCTAGACTTCTGTCCTACATGCTGGACGAACCTTGAACCCTAAAGCCCAAACTCAAAACCCTAAACCTGAACCCTAAACTCAACCCTGAAGCCTAAGCTGCGTGGACGGCGATTCCAAACCTGCAATTTCTCACTCTGGTTGGTTGGCACTTCGGAGTTTAGGGCTTAGGGTTTAGGGTCTAGAACTTAGGGAATAGGGTTGAAGAGATAGGGTTTAGGACCTTGGGTGTAGGGTTTAGGAGTTGGGGTTGTTAGATTTAGGATTATGGTGTGGGGCTTATTCTAAACATGCAAGATCGAGCATATTCAACACATGCAGGGACAACCGAATTTGGAGAGAAACGCCTCTCGTCAAGTTTTCCCTGCCGACGTGCCCTGACACTGCTGGTGTCCCCACCTCTACCAGAGGAACCCTCATGCTCAACGGGCTCCGGGTACGAAAACAAGTTATTTTTCAGTCACCTGTAGCCAGCCGGCCCAACCTCTGGTGCCTATAGAGCGCCAAAGCAGTGAGGGAGTGTTGTCCTGACAACTACACATGGTTAGTGTGTAGGATATGTAGTTGAAGAGGGATTGTTGCCATGCACGTAGAGTTGACCTCCTAGAGGCAGACCCTGCATCCCTTGCATTCCAATTCCTGCTTGGAGTTCCATGGCGTTCCACTGCTTATAATTGCGGTCTTAACCCTACTGATGATTTGGGTAGCCCCTACAAGGCTGTCTAGGTGGACTATAAGTTAGGTATAGTTGGCTAATACAGTAAGCCCGGTGATAATCAGTTACTGGGTCCCATGAACCTCCAAGTAGACCTTGCCTTGTCTACAGGCTTTGGATGAGCTGGTGCACCGAGTGGAGGGTAATTGCTCTGTGTCTCTCGACTGGTTCACGGGTACCAGACGGCATTTTCGGAATTAGCAGGGGGCTTAGGGTAAGGGAGTCAAGGAATCTTCAGGTGTTTGCTGTACTCTGGCTCTGGATGCCTCTAGGTGTTCTGATCTACCGGAGGCACATGCAACCCGAAACCCCAAAGCCTCTGGGTCATTTTTGTAACTTGCCTGCAAGGAACTTTAAGCCTTAAACCCCTAGCCCCCCAAATCCTAAACCTCTAAACCCTAGCACCCTAAACTCTAAACCCTGAACCCTAAACTCTAAACCGAGTTCAAGGGATCCAGGATGCAGGGTTCCGGGTTTTAGGGCTGTAGGAGTTGAGGGCTTAGGGGTCTAGCTTAGGTGGACCCCCACTCAGTACGGATTAAATTCGGGCCCTCTTATATTCCCATAATGCCACCTCCTAAACTCTAAGCCCTCAACCCTGAACCCTGAACCCTAAACCCTAAACCCTAAACCCTAAACCCTAAACCCTAAACCCTAAACCTGGTGGGGGGTCCTCCTGAGGTCTAGGCTTTACGGGCCGTAGGGCTCCATGAGTTGCACTCCGCGGTTAGGCATTTAGGGTTTAGGGTTCAGGGTTTCGGGTTTAGAGTTTAGAGTGTTAGGGGTTTAGGATTTAGGGGTTTGGAGGTTTAGGGTTTTGCAGGTTTAAGGTTTAGGGTTTAGGTGGATATCACAGATGTCATTGCCTGAGCAAACGTCTGCTACCGCTTAGTGCAAGATCCAGCACGCTGATGTAAGATTCTCAATGATTACAAATAAGATCCCCTTCGACTTCTCATGCTCTTTTCGTATACTATATCTATACGTAAGCCATGTTGTAATGACTCAGGCCCCTCCATTACTTTTTCTCACTGGAAACACAGGCAGTTAGCTCTTGTTACGGGACGCCTCCACTGGTAAGTTGAGCGCAGGCCGAACAAGTCTGTGTAGATCCAGGGTTGAGGGCTCAGGGTTCTCGCGGATGTCCCTATACTCTAAACCAAAACCCTAAACCCTAAGCGATGTGGCCAGTGGGCTTGCAAGGCTTGTCAGGAAAGTTGCTATGGTATTGTTCGCAGTAGGTAACATCCAAGCTCTTCCAGGTAAAGCAGCCTGCACTGG